AGCCAGGTAGGAATTTTTATTAGAGAATCCAGTAAAGAAACTCCTTAAAAATTTGAAAATTCTCATTGTTTTTCTCATTACAAAAGTCCTGCATGACTCATATAAATTAATAACACAGAGACACGAGAGAAGAAAAAAATAAAGTCATAATTCCTCTACTCAAAGATAAAGATAACCCTGATTAACAGTTTTCATTTTTGACCCAGGCAAATATACATTGTTCACAGAAAGGGATTCATATCGTCCATGTTATTTTGTAAACTACTTTTTTCATTCGATAACATATATTTGGATTTCTTTCCAAGTCTACAACCTTTTTCCTACAGAAGGGACTTACATGACCATGATGTGTTATAAATGTATTACTCGTGGGACTTTTAGGTTGTTTCCAATGTCTACCATTAACAATACCACCATGAACAACCTTCTAAGTAAATCTTTCTACAAGTTTTTACCATTTTCCTTGAGATATATTTCTAGGTCATAGAAATAGAGCTTTATCTGGGGGGAGGAATTTGGTGAGATTTACCTGTAACATATTAACTTCTTCCTCTTTTTTCTCCTTCCCTGTGTCTTTTGCAGATCATTCAAAGCCCAAAGCAAACAGCATTCTCAAGGAGAAGAGGGTGTTCAGACCCTGCTGTGAGGCCCCAAGTCGTGAAATGAGCCTGAGCCCTTGCCCAGTATGGATGGGCCCAAGCATGTCCTCTGAGGCCTTTTGACAAGTAAGTTATTCGCCTCTCGGGGATCCTTCCCACTGGGACCAAGAGATTTCTAGAGTCACTTGTGATGGTCAGTAATGTCCCTAATGTGACCAGGAGGTAGAGACTTCTGTTTTATGTCCTTCAGGCAAGGACAAAGCAGGATGAGCCTGCGTTGTTGGGAGCAGCAGTAGAGAAAGGAAAGGATGAGAAGGGGTCTGTCACATGCATGTCCCCCCTGTACTGCGCTTGGAGAGCTAAGGGTTTGTGGGTTTGTGCTCATTACCCACGGCCACCTAGAACTTCTGGGTTCCTGCTCTCTTCAGGGCATGAGGAACTGCCCAGGTAAAGAGTCCTGCCTGAGTAGAGCACGTCTAACAAGAGGCCAAGTGGCACTTCCTGCTGCCCCACAAATGGCCATGAAGGCTAGAGAATTGCCAACCAGGGAGGCTCACCTGAGTGTTTATAGTCTTTATTGGGGTTTCATGCTGTAGGTATAATTGATTGGTTGTGATGTCGAAATCAGTTTCCAGCCCCCTTGCTCCCTGGAGGTCAGGCCAATAAGCAAGCAGCTCACAGCCCTTAACCTTTTACTCACATGGTCGGTGTTTCTGGCATGCCCAGCCTTCATCTGGAGCATCCCCACCATGAGTAACAAAGACACTCATTCAATTTGCTCTTAAGAGGTCCTGGGCAAAATTATTTCATATGAGGCTGTAGTGTTTAGGTGTGTTGTAATCTACCACTGGTGGCATCTATTGGCTATGGAGGCATCCAATCTTGCTCAAATTCTAAGTCTTATCCACCACCGTCGCTTTCCACCATAGCAGTGAGTGGGAGTTGGAAAGGGAGGAATTTTAATAACACTCATTTTCTAGCATAAAGGGAGCCCTGTGAATAAATCCCTTCTGGATTTACTTGATTTTCCTGTTAAAAATGGTTTCTAAGTGACAGGGAAACTCCTGCCTACAATGGAGGATGAGAGGAAGTAAAGCATTTTACCTCATCCTTTTCTCTCCCAAATGCTAGAAAAGGAACAGGTTGGGGGCCAATGATTTCTTTCCCCCAGGAGAACCAAGTTAATATCTGACCAGAGCCTTGCTTCAGCCAGAAAACTGGTTCATCTTTACTAGCTGAAAATGAAACCTTCTGCGTTTTTTAGGGAAACTGCCCCTTATTCACATACAGGCCATGAAATCACTCTCTTCAAGCTAGACTTGCAGCGATTATCAACACACGCTCCGTTTCCGTGAGGTTGAGTGTCCAACTCTGCCCCCCTTTTCCCTTTCCTTCCTCACTTGGGTGATTTGTGAATCTCCCCCCAGGTGACTGGCTGGCTTTGGCTCCTGCCTGTGGCCCTGACATGCTGATGGGCCAGGAGGGTGAAAGTCTGATTCCATGAGATACAAACAACAGAAACTTTACATTTGGGACCCTTCTCGACCTCATCTTATGTATTTTTTGGCTTAACAAAAACTTAATTCAGAAATCCATTCAATGTGATTTGTTTCCACAAAACGTGTTCCATAAAAGTGTTCTCATTCGTGGAAAAAATAATAATTTTCTTAGACTGCAGAATGTATCACCTTACTGATGATGGATTGGGAATGTGGTGAGATGGGCCTTGGGAAGGCTCCATTAGTTCAGTTCATCATTTCCGTTTGTCATGTGCTCTTCCACTAAGTATTTGTTTTCTAATACCTCTTCCCCTCTGGGGATTCTTACATTCTTGATGCTTTCAGAAAAGTGACGCAGATTTCCCTAGGAAGTCTTTGTCCTGTGAGCAGGAGGCCTTTGCGGGGTGGTAGGGACACAGGGAGCGGGAGTCCATCTGTGAGTCTCTGTCTCTCCTCATCACGTAAGATGCCACTGCCACTGTGACGCCTTGTTTTCCTGCTTAGGCCACAGAGATGGAGCTGCCCAGGTTCCCAGCTGGTGGTCAGTGACAATGGTGGACTGCGGAGGTGAAGTTAACAACTTCACAGCTACAGAGTTTCCTTAGCAGAGCTGTGGAGTGTGACAATGGTGTTTGTGTCCAAGCTATCAAACGCCATTATCACACTAAATAGCTACTGCTAGGCAATCCTTCTGTGCAGGAAGTGTCTTGGCATCTGTTTGGTAGGGGCAAGAAGGTTCATCTGGTAGCAGTGCTCCCAATCTTACGTGGTTACTGAATGAAGTCTGGTACTTCCGTGCTCATA